GCCTTGCATGCCTGAGGCCCTGGGTTCGATTCCTCTGCACCACATAAGCAAAAAAGAAAAAAGCCGGAAGTGGCACTGTGGCTCAAGTGGTAGAGCGCTAGCCTTAAGCTGAAGAGCTGAGGGAAAGGACCCAGGCCCAGAGTTCAGGTCCCACGACTGGACCCCCCCCCCAAAAAAAGTTCCAGAATCTGGGTCACCCGCAGTACTCTTAGCCCTACTACCTCATGTCACATGATGGATGAGTCACCTGGGCCTCTGTCTTCACCTGCCCTAAAGTGTACAGCCAGGAGCCCTGAAAACCAGAGACACATTCTACCTTGTTAACCGGACACTACTTTCTGTAGATATGTATTATGGAACCAAAGTATATCTATTGACATGGAAAGATGCTCTCAAGATACTTAAATAAAAAAAGAAAATTATATATTGTCAGGATCTCATTTTACAATATGTATATGTATTTGTAAATATTATCCTAGAAAAGTAGTCTGGAATAAAATAAATCAGGATGTTACCAAGTTATTTTTGGAAAATGAATTATGGTACTTGTATTTCCTTTTTTATAATAAATATAATAATATGATAAACATGTGAAAAGCTAAAAATATTATTATCTTCATATCACAGAAAAAAAAGCTTTCATAGAATATGAAATAAATATGATGTTACTGTAAGCAGCCTCATTTCTACTTGTGATGAGCAGAAAGAAAAGGAATTTGGGTGGTGCAGTATCAGCAGAGTCCTGAACTAGATCTGGGTAGAAGACATCCCTTTAGGGAGGCTTTTTTGTTTCTTTTCTGAAAGATTAAGTATGCTTTTATTAAAATGATCTTCTGAAGATCCAAGTTCAAGAGGGTAGAGGCAGGGGTGGAGACAATAAGAGAAAGGGTTTGGCAGTGTGTTCTGATAATATTAAAGGCCCTACAAAAAAAAAAAAAAAAAGGCCCTACACCCTTAAATCACTCCTAGGCCATGGTAGTGATCCAAGCCTTTAGGACCCAAGGCAAGCAACAATGAGGAAAAAAGAAAAGTTACACAATAAGAACAATAGCTGGGCTGGGAAGGTGGCTCAATGGTAGAGTGCTTGACTTGCATGTATGAGGCTCTGGGTTTGATTCCTCAGCACCACATAAGCAGAAAAAGTCTGAAGTGGCGCTGTGGCTCAAGTGGTAGAGTGCTAGCCTTGAGCTGAAGAGCTGAGGGACAGCGCCCAGGCCCAGAGTTCAGGCTTCATGACTGGACTCCCCCCCCAAAAATAAATAAAAAAGGAAGGAAGAAATAAAGATAAGAAAAAAAGAATTTGACTTATATAACTGCAACTCCTCTGTACATCACCTTTTAATAACAATTTTTAAAAAAAGAATGAAGGGGCTGGGAAGGTGGCTCAGTGGTAGAGCGCTTGCCTTGCATGCATGAGGCCATGGGTTTAATTCCTCAGCACCACATAAGCAGAAAAAAAAAAAGAATGAAAAAGAATTATTTGGGGTCTGAGATGTGGCTTAGTGATAGAGTGCTTGCCTTGCATGCATGAAGCCCTGGGTTCGATTTCTCAGTACCACATAAACAGAAAAAGCCAGAAGGGGCACTATGGCTCAAGTAGTAGAGGGCTAGCCTTGAGCAGAAGCTCAAGCCCCAGGACTGGCAAAAAAAATTAAAAAAGAATTATTTGGTAGGATACAGAATTGGGTAGGAAATATAAATTATTTGGATATGTAGCTTTCAAAAAGGGAAAAAAAATTCTAGGCTGGGAGCTTCTCAGACAAGCCAGTCTTATGTAATTAAATGCCTACATAGCACATATTTCAAGAAGAGGCATATTAAGAACCTGAA